CTCTCGCTCACGTGTGCGGCGTGCACTTAGACTTACGTGCAGCTCACAGCGGTGCGTGGAACATCATCACGTTGTCGTCCCGGACCGCCATATAGGCATCAAACAAATAGTCTGCCTTATTACCGACGTCGATGAGCCAGTCAACACGAAAAAACTGTCAATCTGGATTTTCTAGTCCAGGCTGGATATTTTACTGTGTGTCACTCGCCCGACTCCGCCCCGCATCGCCGCGTCACTCGTCCCTTTTAATACTGAGCCATCACGGCACAAAGGTAATGTCGGAGCTGGATGACGCAAACGCAGCGAGGTCGCAGATCAGCCATCAGCAGAGCGTTGGAGCAATATACTCCATGTGCCCCCCCCCCTCTCCACTCTCCTCTCACCTGCTCCTCCTCCAGTTCCTCTCACACTCCCCCACCACCTTACTCGCCTCATCCTTCTTATTTGCCCTTGCGCTTGACCTGAGACAACGCCCTGCTGGCTCTGGAAGGCTGGCGCGAAAAAAACAGGGGGGAGGGGGGCGGTAATGGAGTAAGGTGTGTGTGTGAGAGAGAGAGATTTGGCGAGGGGGGGGGGGTCCAAGTTATTCAAGGCGGGGAGACAGTCGGGCCTACATGTTGCGAAACCTCTGAGGGTAATGACCCCAGGGGCTAATGAACTCTTCGCGCGCTCTCTGACTAACCCCTCCTCCCACCCGTGTCGTTTACCCCTGGTGGCAGTGCCATAGTTCTAATACACTGCTGATTCACTCCGGTACGTGTTTTGTTCAAGCTGACCGAAAATTGTTGCAAGTGTGTAAAAAATACATTTTACATGTTTAGTCTCGAATAATGCTCTTTACTTGAGACGGCGACGGTAAAGCACGCACGACGGGCCACAGTGTAAAAGCATTTTGAAGCATGTTGCGTCCATCTTATTTAAATAATCAGGAATTAAGTAAGTAAGAATTCTTACTTCCATACACCACACTTCTCCCAAGTGCATGCCGGTTGAACTTCAGAATCAAATTAGAACTAATTACTCTGTTTTCCTGATGGACGTCAAACATACTATGATTCTGTGTGTTTCATCTTTTCTGCGAGTCCAATAATCCCCTCACTAATTTTTTTGAATGGGCCGCCGGTTGGTGCGGCAACCGCCCGCCGAGTGGTCTCTGCCGCACTGGGGAAAACGTCTTCGTAGATTTATATTTTTAATAAACAGCTGCCCCTCGTCAATAAACTCGATGTCAAATACGAAAGGCTCGAGGAAATGCTTGTAATTTTACAATTTTAAACTTTACGACGTTCATGAAGTATCATTTTCCCGTCAAACCTCTCACTATTTTTGTCCAGTGTGCGGGCCGCGGTCCCTGCCCTGCCTCTCCGGGGAATGACCCCAACACATATTGCGTTATTCGACTGCTGAGACGCACCGTTAGTCGTGAGGCGCTAGTGTGGTCCTGGCCGCGAGGCACGGCCCGCGGCGTAGAGGCTGATCTGATCGGGCGGGGACCATCACCGCGACGTGTCCACAGTCAAAAGTTTAAAACGCGTCAGAAACTGGCGAGGTGTTGAGGAGAGATGCGGAGCACCCAAGTAACAATAACACGGTTGTCGTGTGCGAGCTTGCAGAGCACTCTGAGTTCTGCACATTGTGTTTTGTGGCCCCAAAATAAGTTCAGTTGCGGTTGCACAGTTGCACACTTTTCTACTCAGAGTATGAGTATGGCCAACACGCGGCAGAGATTAGAGGGCTATAGCCGCGGGGATAGCAAAATTCGCACAACAACCAAACAACGGTGTCACCATGGTGTCACATAATTATTGCAAGTGATTTAACGCTTGATGTATCAGTGTTATCAGCGGTTATCAAGCCATCTGTTCGCCCGGTTCTGTCATTGTGAGCGCTGCGTTTTGCAGCCAACAACAACAATGACGGCACTTCCAGAGGCGAAGAAAGACGCGCCCAGTTAGCGAGAAATAGACAGAGAGGAGGGGGGGGGAGTGAGGTGGTAACTGGGGGCGTCTTTGCCTGTAGAAGTGCCACTGGCCGGGGACGGTGACGGTGGTTCGGAAGCCGATCTGATAATGCCGGTCACATAACGATACAGTCCGGTAGTTCGGCGTGCGGCCAGGCACGTGGGTCAGGGAGGGAGGGAGAGAGAGAGACAGAGAGACAGAGGGACAGAGAGAGTGCAGTCCACGTGACGACTGCTGGTTATTCAGACTCAGATGCGATCATCCCCCGCGGTGGTGCGTCGGCTCGCGGGCTGGCCCGGCGCGCGCCGCCCCCAGGCCACCCCCAACCTGTTACGCTGGCCGCTGCTTGACGTAAGGCCCCTCGCCACCCCTGGCGCCGCTGCGGCCGCCGCCTGGCGCGTCACGTGGGGTGGCAACCCCACCGCCAGCACGTGGCCGCGACAACTCCCGCCGGTGTTCGAACCGGCGACGGCGACCCCGCCGCGGCCGGAAGGGCCCGTGTGCCCGCGCAGCAGCCGCGCAGCAGCCGCGCAGCAGCCGCGCAGCAGCCGCACAGCAACCGCCCCAGACAATAGTCGTGGCCGAATGGCGACGAGACAAACGCCTTCTGGACAAATTATTGTCTTGTCTTTGGGCCCCTGATTGTATAACGCCCTTGCAGATGAGCCCCTTTCGGAATTTGAGTGTCGTAAGAAGTGAACTCCTGGAACGGGGTATGGCAGTATTGTCCCCACTGTAAGTTTCGTACCAAGAACTAACTGCTCTTCGTAACGTAAAAAGGATTTGGAACCTTTCAATACCAGAGCTCTGCGAAATCGCCTTCCGAGACCGACCGCGCCAGGCGTCCTCGGTCTACCCTGGCGAGAGGTGAGGACGGGTGAGGAGCTGGGGCTGGGACAGCGGGCAAGCTCCCGTCCTCATCTCTCACCTGGCTGGTGGCCTGACGCGGTCGGTCTCCGGAGGCGATTTTGCAGAGCTCTGTTTCGTTTCGATACTCCCTAAGCACAACCGCTCAGCGACCCAGGGGTGAGCGAACAACCACTCAGCACACGGGTGTCTGCCGGTGTCTGCGCACAATCGCTCAGCTCACGGGTGGCTGCGAACAACCAGTCGAACAACCCCCTGCCTGCGGGTCGCTGAGCGGTTTTGCTTATAGGGAGTATCGCTTTAAAAAACAAACAAATCCTTTGTTTTACGAAGGGCTCGGTTTTTTTTTATCACCAGGAGCACGCGTCTGTTTACAAACTAGTGCTCTTTGTTGTAATATGAACGTCGTTTATCTAGTGACTAGAGGTGCGCTAGAACTGGCCGGGTCGCGGCGGCGGCTGCACGAGACGCGTCCTCACGTGCCTGCCGGCCGGTGCCGGGCAGTCTGCTGCGACGTCGTGTTGCCACTCTGCCGACGGCCGGCACATGCGCACGAACAGCCTCGTGTATATTTTTCGATCGCCAACGACGATAGTGTGAAACGATTCGGTAACGCTCCGGACGACGAGACTGCTGGCGCTGGCGGTGACGTCGGGTGCGGTCACGGTCGCACACCGTTTGCAAACGCTACATAGGGGTTCGGGTCCGGGCCAAGGCGTCAACGCTCGTCAGGGCCTCACTCAACTCGCGACTTTGTTGCTGGGAAGGGGTTCGTCGCCAAACTCGTTCGGTAAAGGAGACCAGAACCGCTTGGTCGCCCTTGGCGCCCTGTGATCACTGTCAACAGAAAAGCAAATAACGAATGTATCGATGACCCACCTAACTTGCTTCCCGACATCCTTCTCTTTTTGCCCTTGAAATTCAAATGTCGTCCTCATCCATAAAGCGACTATATCACCCACGCTAATGACACTAGTTTTCCGCGTCGTGCGTCATCAGACTGGCCATTGCCCAATGTGAGCGACAGCCGAGTCAACACGCAGCCCCGGCAGCTCCCCCGCCGCGTTTAAAACTCTGCATGCCTATGCACACAAAAAAGAGAGGTTAGGGTATATGTACCTTTCCTGTTCGTCTGTGTCCCCCTCTCAATCTCTCTCATCCCTCTCCGCCCGCCGATTTAAGGTTGCCACGTGAGTCTGTCACGTGGTGCAGTGTTACTGCAGCCTGCTGCACTGCGCTGTGCTGTACTCGTAATAGCCCACACGGGCTCTCCACCACGAGTCGTTATGCAAACTCCTTTCCTTTTTTTACCCATGTCGTGTTTGCCTCGCGTGCAATTTGTATTCCGTCAACTCGGTCGGTTATTGTACACCCGGGGGGGTCGGATCCGGCCGTGTTGTTGTGGGTTATTTGGCTGTCGTCTTTCCACCGCTCAGGAGGCGCCATGGCACCTGATGCCCAAGAATGTATGCAACCCCGCAGCACTGCATCGTTCGCTCTGATACACCGGGTCCCGGTAGTCCCCCGCCACTCCCCTCCCTCTCTCTCTCTCTCTCTCTCTCTCTCTCCCTCCATCCCTCGCTCGCTACTCGTAGCACTGTAGCGCCTTGAGGTAGGCAGCCCACTGCCGGCCGTGCGTAGCGGGTCGGCCTACCCGGCCGGGCGTTTCGGACGGCCTACGCGGCGAGGCAACGCCCGCGAAACTTATCTACAGGAAAAACAGGTACAGTGCGATTGCGATTCGACTCATTTGCACTTGAACTGTTTTTGGCGCTCACAACAACGTTATCTATGTCCCTAAGGAGTTTAGTTTAAAGGTTGTTGCACGTCCCACTCGTCAGCGGAACGCACCACCTCACCTGCTAGGTTCGTGAGCTGCTGCCTGGCTGTACTCTAGCACCACCACGCACATCAGCCAGTGTTATTGTACCCTCCCCTCTCCTCCCTTACGACCTGACCTCAGTGGACAGCAATAACCATCTCGTCAACAAAGTCAAAGCTCTCTTTGTGAATCCCAATTACAAAACGCGCAGCAGAGAGGCGTCTCTGCTGCGTCCCGCGGGCGTCTAATAGACACGTGTTGCGGAAACGTGAGCCGCGGCCGTAACTAGCGCAGGCCCGGGGGGTGGTGGCGGGCGGGGTGGGGCGGCATGCGCGGGTGAGCCGGTGGCCCCGGCGGCGTCAGTCAGTCACTGGCCGCCGAGCCGACCGCCCCGCCGCGCCGCTCAGCAAAGCCCGGCCCGCGCACCCAGGCGACCCTCGCGGCCCGCGTGTCCTCACCTATCTCTCCTGCGGAGCCTCCACCGCCGCCGTGCGCACGCCGCGGACACCTCACGCACCGCGACCCTTCACGATGAGGGCCTCGTTCGCCGTGCGGTGACACGGGCTACCCTCTGCTCCACTCCTCCAAGCCGCCCATTTGCGTCAAACGCGTGGCCAACGATGACGGTGCTGGACGGCCCTGCGGGTCACCAGCGGCCGGACGCCTGCCCTCGGCACCCGGACCCCATCTGGGTCAGCTGTGAGTGTGCGCTCCCCGCTGCTGTTGCCCCCGCGCCCGCCCCCCATGGCAGCGGCGGCTGCCGCTGCTGCTGTTTTTGATCGCCTCACTTGTTTGTCATCTCCTCTGGCGCGCGACGCTGAACGTGCCGGCCGATGGCGTGGCGAGGCGTGGCGCAAAGTCTTACGTAACGCCGCGCGAGGGTGTCTAGTCGGCCGCCCGGTCACGTGTATACGGCCTTATCACTGTACTGTACGCCGCGCCACGCCACGCCCCGTCTGTCAGCGGCGGCGTGCACAGCCAGCGGACTACTGCATCTTGCGTAATTATTGCACCCCACGCCCGGCCTGCAGCCGGCTGCTGCTAGAGACGATCTTGGCGTGTCCACCTGGGGCCGCCGCCTCGCAGGCGCACCCGCTGCTTGCGCTCGCGCCTGCCCCCTCCCCTCCCCGCACCACTCACTCCCAACACACTCCCCCCCTACCTTTTCCCTCACCGCCTCCAGTCCGGCCCCCCGCCAGGTCTCTTCCTCGCCCCGATGAACCGTTAGGCGATCTACTTCGGTACAGGAAAGGATGTTCCCCCACCACCCTTCTCCCCGCGTTTCCCCACCGCAGGCAGGCATAAGGTAAAGGGTTAGATTAATTCAAGTTTTATTACTGCGGAGGGGGGAAAAGGACCACGATCGTGTATTCTGGACTGTGTCCTCTAGCGCTATGTGGCCACACCACCCCACCAGCCCCTGGCTACCCTCTCACCCTGAGCTACTACGGCTGACGCGGCGCGGGAGCTGGCGCTGCAGCACATCAGAATTCTGATAACGCATTCCTACGAGCGAATCCCGCTGCCTGAAACGTTTTCGCTGTATTTGCTCCTATTAATAGTTATGTAACCGTGTCAGCGACGCGCGCGATACGTAGGTTTGTAATGGTTTCTACCGTGTAATCTGCGCCGCGCCCCTCCCCGCCCCGGCGCGGCTATCTTTGCGGATGTGGGTGGGGCGGGTGACTGACACTCGTTGCGCGCTCGACTTTAACAACATGGCCGAAATAGGCCCTCACCCGCCGCCAGGTCCGCACCCCCGAGCTTATCGGCACTTCTGTCGCATTTTCCGGTGCTCAACCCAACATGCGCATCCCCGGACCCTGTACCCTCGCGGTGGCTCACCTAGATACGTACCCCCTCCGCCGTGTCGGCCCTGCCCCTGACCGCCCCTGGCCCCGCCGCGGCCCCTCTCCGAGTGCTTTCTCTGGCGCCAGGCGTGGCCCGCTCAACGCCCCCCCCCCCTTTCTCTCTCTTCCCCTTCCCTCACTGAGGCTTAACCGTCTAACGGTTCGTGTGTCCCCTTTTTGTTGCAGATGCTGTGAGACATCGCGCCATGGTTGCCGAGCTGGTGTCTCGACAGGGGGGCTCGCCCGTCAATGGCGAGACCCCCGGCAGCTCGCCCCAGCGGCAGAACAGCAACCCGAGCAGCCACCCGGGCCATCACCCCGTCAACGGCAATCCCAGCGGCCACCTGAGCGGCCACCAGAGCGGCCCGACCATCACCGTCAACAGCGTGCTCGCTCGCCCGCCGACCGGCCTGTTCTGCGCGGGTCCGCTCCCAGGGGCTCCCAACGGGCCACCCAACGGCCACCTCGCCGGGCACCCAAACGGACACCCTAACGGACACCCTAACGGACACCCTAACGGACTCCAAAACGGACACCAAAACGGACATCAGAACGGACATCAAAACGGACATCAGAACGGACACCAAAACGGACACCAGAACGGACACCAAAACGGACACCAAAACGGACTCTCGAATGCCATGGATCAAGGCAGGATGTCGCCCAGTCCCCACGACCACCACCAGATGCAGGACATGTCGCCGGGCTCGCGTAGCCAGTCTCCCGACAACGGCGCGTACCCGCAGCGCAAGCAGCGCGAGTTCATCCCCGACTCGAAGAAGGACGACAGCTACTGGGACAGGCGGCGGCGGAACAACGAGGCGGCCAAGCGGTCCAGGGAAAAGCGGCGGTTCAACGACATGATCCTGGAGCGGCGCGTCGTCGAGCTGTCCAAGGAGAACCACGTCCTCAAGGCGCAGCTCACCGCCATCCGGGAGAAGTACGGCATCAACGGGGAGAGCGTGCTGAGCGTGGAGCAGGTGCTGGCCACGCTGCCATCCAGCGACCAGGTCCTGGGCCAGGCCAAGCGGCCCAAGCTGGCCTCGCCGCACCCCACGTCGCCGCACCCCACCTCGCCGCTCCCCCCGACCGGCATGGTGCCGCACCCGCTGCACATCGCGCCCCACGGCGCGCTGCAGCCCCCGCACCAGCCCAGCCCCATCCCCACCTCCGTCATCCACCAGCCCGTGGCGCGCTCGCCGCCGCCCCCGTGCGGGCCGCCGGCGCCGCTGCCCGGCCTGCTCAGCCTGACACCCCTGGCGCCCGTCGTCCCGGCCAACATGGACGACCAGGACTTCCCGCCCTACCCCTACCCCCTGCCGCCGCTGTACCCCGCCGGCCCCACCGGCGCCGCGGGCCCGTGCGCAGGCGCCGCCGCCGCGCTCAACCTGTCACGCGGCGCGAGGGAAGACCGCGCCCTTGACCGTGGCCTGGAGCGCGGCCTAGACCGTAGCCTGGAGCGTAGCCACGACCGCGGCCTGGAGCGCAGCCACGAGCGTAGCCACGAACGTAGCCACGAACGTAGCCACGACCGTAACCACGACCACGAGCGCATCCGGGAGAGAAGCCTGGAGCGAAGCCTGGAGCGGGCACCCTCCCCGTACGAGCACGAGATGTCGAGCGGCAGCGGCGACGAGGCGGCCCTACACCAGCCCGCCGCCAACAACTGCCTGCCGCACAAGCTCCGCCACAAGTCTCACCTCGGCGAGAAGGAGGCGGCGGTGGCGCTGCTATCGCTGCAGCCGCTGCCCGCCATCAAGACGGAGGGCCACGGCCACCACGTGACGCACCACGAGGCCGACAGCGCGCGCGCCAGCCCACCCTGGGACGCCGAGGGCTCGAGCGACGAGAGGGACTCGGGCATCTCGCTCGGCGACTGCGGCTACAGCGGTGGCGAGGCCAGGCACGTGCTCGGCCACGGCCTGGGGCCCCTGGGCCACGAGGGCCAGGACGACGCCGACGGCCACCTCAAGAGCGAGCTCGCGAGGCTGGCCTCCGAAGTGGCCTCCCTCAAGAGCATGCTGCACAAGGGCACGCTGCCATCCCTACCGCCCCTTCCGCCGCTGCAGCAGCCGAACGTCGCCCTCTACTAGAAGAGCTGCACGGACCCGACTCGCTTTGCGCTTGACTAAGTCCGACTGACTGACCCTGACTTAGATTCCCGGTGTGCTGCCAGGCACTCGATGTCACTCACAGTGTCGCCAGGTGCGATCAGGACAGGACATGTGAGCCCACAGCTTTGGCCTCAGACTGCGTCGAAAACGTGCTCCAATTGCGCTCAAACCTAAAAAAGTGAAGAATTAAAATTTCTATTTTTGTTAACCATATTGTCCCAACGGCTGCAAACTTTGAAAATTTTATTTAAATTTAAAACTTGGTGTTACTGTGTAGATAAAACATTAATAGAAATGGTACAAAGCCAACCAACTTGCTTGTTGAATTTCGACCGTGGACACAGGGTGGCATGTGACGGTTCATTGAGAGATGAATCGAGTAAGCCGACGCCGTTGAACAAATCGAGTTGCTTTGCTAGTCTGGAATGCAAATAATTCCAAGTAAATGTGCGGAGCACGGCCAAAGCGTGGCGGCTGAACTGCCAGTATTGGACAGCGTCCTAAGAGCTTTCAATGGACACCAAAAAGTAAGATTACAATATCTCTGTATAATTGTTAAATATGATTATGTCGTTTCATATCGACGTTGTACGATAATGTGTATAGGGTGATACTCGATTTGAGTTTTTAACTCTAATGATTCTATTGTATGAGAAATTTGTTGTAGTGTTTTACATAATATGTACAAAGTGTTTTATGTGATCCAGTGTAACGTACTATTTTTAAGTATTGTGGGGCTGCGCGCTCGCTGGGCGCGAGTACGGAACTGCTCATGCTGAGTGATGTGGAAACGACGCATTCGACAAATGTGATATTTTGATATTTTTTTTACATGATGAAATTGTTTTTTTTTCCTTGTTTGTGTACGTGCGGCACGGGGCAGCCCCGATGTATTACACCTTTTGTTGTACATATAAAAATGGCTGTGTATTTATTTCTATATTGAGGATAACATAATGTAACCCTTGGTTGTCCTTCCCCCTCGCGTGCAGGCCGCGATCACCAAGGTGCGTCCAGTTAGCGCCGCCAGGTTCGCTGAGCAGTCCTCAGTGTTCAATGCTGGTCGCCGCCTGCACGCGTCATGTTCCAAAAATGCGTCCGGAGGCTGCACCCCATTTTGACGTCTTGTCTGTCCCACAGCTGAGTGGGAGAGGAAAATAAAACGGGTGCTGCCTCCGAACGACGCTGTTATCAGGCTCAAAATCTTGTTAAGAAATGTTTCTTTCCAACTTTTACAACTAGTTTGTTTTATCCGTCCCTGGTGAGGCATAACAGTTCTCCCCAAACACGGGGAATGACAGCCAAGACGACGACCTGGCTGTGGCCTGCGGGTGACCCCTGGGAATCGGCTCTGCTCAGCTCTTCTCTGCACCCCGACTAGACAGGCCGAGCGAGGTCTGTGGGGCCGAGTGGTCCTGGGCTGTTGTTTAATTAGGGCTCCTTGCAATAATTTATTTGTTTTCATTTTGTACAAAATAAAAGAATTTGTGTTGTTTTCCGTAACGTGCTTGTTTCTGAATGCTTTTTTACGTAATTTATTGTTAGTCGCGACCCTTATTCGGTCGGCTGCTGGAAAAATGGAGCAATATATTTATTGAGTAATATGAGTTTGTTTATTTCCTTTACCTACCACACTGCAAAATCTTGAAAAACTACTGTCTAAAATAGAAAAAAAACGGACACTCTTTAATAACAATTTCAGTAAATTAATTTATTATATTTATTGACAATAGGGAGGAGTCAAATCTTTTTCGGTTTGATGCGCGCACACGATCACAGGTTGAAGGAAAAGCAATAACAGCCTCCTTAAGTCAGTGGTAACACCTTGCCACAAAAACATACAAAGTTCTTATATTGGTTCAGGACAGATCAATGAGGCCATCATACACCAGAGGTGGCTGTCAACCCCGCTCACACCTGTGGTTATGCTGTTCCGCACGCACTCGTGCGGGCGGGTTGCCTACTCGCTCGGCCCGCAAGGCGCCGCGTGGACAGGGGCGTTAGGCAAGCCCGTGCGTGCGGTACAGCACAACTACAGAAGCGAGGTTAATCAGTCACCTGGTGCCTGGTACAGAAAATCGTGGGGTTGATGCGATACCCAGCAAGTAAATACAGAGTAAATCGGTGATCGAGATCGTGTGGGACACAGCAGCGCTATAGCGATACCCGAGGCGCTACCCCATGGCGTGCGGCGCTGCAGCCGCTACTCTGCACCGTGTTAACACGGCGCTACTCCCTGCGGCGGTACCACGGCGGCGGCG